AACAACTGTTACCCTGATTTGCAACACACCCTTAAATCCTTCTGTACACATTGACATCCTGACATTATATTTTGTTTCATGTAGCACTGCTTAAGCTCTATAAGCAGGAAATTTTGAAAAAACTTAAGGTCTACTTGTATACTATCAAACTTCAGAGTAGAATTCTAAAATTTTGACTAGCAAATAATAAAAATGTTTTTCTGATATTACATCAGAAAATGCCATTTACTGTTCCTCATGTCAACAGAAAAAGCAAATGCACTAACTCTTATATTCATTCTCAAGTTCAGGCTCAAACTGAGGACATTTAGATTCCTCATTGGCACAATTTACACTCTGTGGAACTATAGACTACAGCTATCAAGCAGTTAGATGAAACAAAAGATGACAATGGAAAAAATGCATTCTTAAGTAAGTTATGTGACTTTTCCAGTCAATTGTTTTCCCCTAACAAATAGTACTTTCCAACCTTTGAGGAAGGTAGCATTTCAACATTCTGTTCGATCCCACAACCCAATTCTAAAATTGGTTTATGTTTCTAATTTAAAAGATATTTTGATTTTAGAATTCAAAGAGAACTGCACCAACTGTCATAGATAACAACTTTAGATAACCCCAAAATCTTTTTGATACTTTACTACTAAAATGATCCCACTTAACCAAAAAGGTCAAGTTTCCAATAATCTCAAACATTCCAAGCACAGTCATGGACCCAGGAATAACAGAAAAAGAATATCTGTAAGGCAAACAGCTGTCACAAAATATATTCTCGTTACTTCACTATGGAAGTAAAGAGACTGAACCCTGGCAACTCCCTAAATAAAGGCCAAGTGAGAATGGACATCCAAAACCAGGGAAGACCTAAACTGTAAAAGGAAAGTAAAACTTTCTTTTATATCAGAAAGAACCATACTTGTAAAAGGAAACTAAAGACCTAATGGAAGTCATTTAGGGGTAAACTGGAACAGTCTCTTTTGGGGCAACTGGGGAATATGTGCCAAAAGCCTTAGAATGTGCATAATCTTAGACGCAGCAATTCCACTAATTCATTCTAAAGCATGCAGCAGTGAGCAGAGTTCGTGTCTTTATGAAGCCTTCATGTTAGTGGATAGCTAACAAATAGTGAGTGTTTACAATGTACCTATCATTATTCTAAGTGTTTTACATGTATCTACCATTTAATTGTCACATTAACACTATGACTTAGAAACTTTCATTATCTTCATTTTACAGATGGAGAGGCTGAACTGCACAATTTTACATAATTTTCCCAGTTAACCTCTTTCGGGTTTCCATTCTCACCACTATTTCCTCACAAATAAAATTGTATTCTACAAACAGACCCCCATCTTTATTCTTTTTCCCTCTCAGACATTTTAAAACACACACACACACACACACACACACAAAAGAAACCAGTAAGCCATGGTTTACAAAAGGCAGAAAGTCATGATTAAAAGCATGAATGGACCAGTTACCCTACTCCCTGGATATGTGACATTTAGCAATTTACTTCACCTCAATAAGCTTCAGCTTCTTCCTTTGTAGAATGGATAAAAGCAGAAAAAGCAACTATTATTCACAAGGTTTTTGCAGGGATTAAATGAGATGGCAAATGAAAGGTGCATAGTACAGACACTCGGACAGAAGAAGCACTCCAGCAATGTTATCTACTAATATTGTTCTTTGTGCCCTATTGTTGAATGGGGATGGAGATACAAAAATTTACTGGGTGCCTGATAATATCTGCCAGATAGTAAAAGCATTATATACCATAATTGTTGAAAAAACACAATTCAAAGTATAAGATAATGAGAAACAAGTAATATCTTTATAAAGTATGGGCAGAAGATTTTTTATTACGAAGTCCTCTACATTCACTCCGTACGGGACTTTTTGGGTAAAGCTAACTTGTCTAATCCACGTGTTTTTATTTCTTTCCAGTATTCTAGTAGACTGACATGCTATGATTTGGGAGATAAAAGCACAGGTATAACAGTTCTTAGACAAAGGGTTTCATTGGGGACATGGCCTCACTGAAACATCAAGTAACATGGAAAAGTAAACAGGGAGCTAACATTGATCTTGATCAAAACCATTTAGAGCTTTTGAAGAAAAAGAAAAGTAAAGAAGTCAAATAGAAAGATACAGAGGAAAAGGATTTAAATAACCATCCCTCAAAATAAAATACACACATGTGCACACGTGCACACACATGCACACACACACACTTCCCCTTTAAAGTAATGAAAACAAGCTGTTGCTTACTCCATCTTTACAAAGGGTCTCATAACAGCTGCAATAATAAAAGCCACCACACACTGCCTGCTCTCTTCATTCTAGGCACTGTGCTCTCTACTTTATATGCGTTGCTTCACTCAGTCCTACAAGCCTGAAAAATCAGTAGCATTATGCTTTGTTTGCCAATAAGGACACCAAGACTAAAAGCCAGCAGATCTCCAAGCCTAGATGAACTGAATTTTCTCCTGTAGGAAGCATCAGTCACATGCTCTTCTGGGTCCAGAAAGAAAACTGAATCTATTCATCCTCTTTGCCTTTCAGTCATACTCACTGTCTTCCTTCTGTCTGAGATTATACCTACAATAAAGCTTGCCACATTGGAAAAGACAGACAGTGACAGTGGGAGAACTTCAGCTCCTCCTGCTCTAAATGATGGCTGTGTCACCCTGTTCAGTGACCCTCCTCCTGATCAAAGCACCTGCTCTCTTTGAATAGTCCATGTCATCAGCACAGAGGACAAAGCTAAAACTGTAGTCACAGTTAGCATAAAATATTTATATACCACAAAAAGGGTGAAAAGTAGAGTTCTATAACATTAGCCTGTCAAAAGGAAACAAAATTTTTTACCTGTGAATTTGTCTACAATACAGCATTAACTATGACCTACATCGTACACAGATGCATAATGAATATTTTGTAAATGGAAGTTTTCAAGGATTTTACTCTTACCATTTAACGTAAGCATTTAGCGTCAGATTTGACCAGGACTGGCTTTGCAGTCAACTATACCTAGACTTAAATTCAGGCTCTGAGCCCTACCACTTAACCTGCTGTTGATTTGAGGCGAGTTACCTGTTGTGGTTTTTGTTTTCAATTGTAAAAGTAAAACAATACCATCAATTTACAGATCCATTGGAAAAGTTAGATGAAATCATATATTTAAAGAACTAAGCATGATTGACACCTAGTACAAAGTAAGTGCTCACTGAAATGGTAGTTATTATTATAATTAAACATTGTCAATTACTACAATGTCTTTCTTCTCAAAGTACTCCAAAGCATATCACCATTTCTGTCTGTGTTTGTGTGAGAAAAATATTATTATGGCCCAAATCATGTGCTTTTCTTTGCAAGGAATACTAAACTATAATGTGTATTACAGCATCTCAATGCAAAACTTACCCAAAGTGTTTAGATACGTGACAATGTGCATAACTATTTATAATAGAACTTAGAAAAGATAGGAGTTTAAAATATGGGTCTCTACATTTCCTTCTTGCTATTGACAGGTGTCAGAATCATAGAGTTCATGCTTTGCTCAAAAAATTTTAAAAAGGCATTCCTAAGAATCATTCTCTTTGCAAATCACCAAAACCTAAGAGTTTTGGGGATGTGTTTATTTGTGAATTATGAGAAGTACTAAGTCCTGTAAGATTCTAAATCAAGATAGCACCTGAAGGGTTATTTTATGGCCACTAGAAAAATCTCAAATCATATTGTACTCATGGTTACAATAAATTCATAAACAATGATAATCAAATTTAAACATACATCTTAATCTTATACTAAATAACAGTACAGTATTCCAGGCTATAACTGAAAATAAAAATATTTTATACTTAGTTTTATAATTACATATATATTTTAGATATATTGATGGACAAACTCATTTCTTCCATTAGAATTTTTTCTTTGTAGAGCTTAATTTGAGTACTAATAACAAATTAAATGAAGATATGGAGCATGTAAAAAAATTAACAAAGGCCCACTTGGACTGACATTAATTTTATACAAAATTAAAATTTCACATGGTCATGAGCTGAAGAATGAAAAAGTTTATTTCAAACCTCAAAATGTGAAACAGAGACTGAGTTTTAAGAGCTATTTCTCTCTTAAATATACTGAAAAATACAGAGTGCTATCGAACAAGGGCCACTACTTTTGAAATATCAGGCTCCCTACAGTTAACATAATGTTGATAGATTTCTCTAAAAAAGCATTGGACTTTAAGAAGAGAATGAAGCACATACTGAATTTTGTTTTGTCTAATTAAAGAAAAATTTTAACCCTCAGGATAAAAATGACCATAATGATACAACAGTAACCTAGAATAGTGAGATCTGCAGCATCTGAAAATGAGCATGCTTTTAAAAATAAGTTGACTTTAAGGTTATCTGAGGTTGCATGATTTGGTGCTTTGAGTTTTACAAATGAAATAATCCAACTTGAGCATATTACAATGTTCGTTAAAACTTAACATTAAAGGGTAAAATAGTCTTCGATGCAAAGTGCAGTTAGGTTCCAGATTTGCTGAAATTAAATTACCACATAAGAAATGTTGGATTTCTTTGGAATTAGCACTGAAAAATTTCTAGTATCTCTCCTGATAATTTTATCTGAAGTGACTTATTTCAAAACAATAAGAGCTACAAATTGAGGCTAGCTTAAAGAGATAAGAGCCTAGCATTGCATTGTCCTCTGCTGACAGGAAAGTATGTTCTTTTAATACTGTACTTAGCTATAAAACACATGTTTTTCCTTGGCTAAAAAATACTTTTCTGGATTACTTAATAGGCTAGTTCTAGGCTTTAAAGAAAAAAACACAATTATTTGTGAAATACAGTGTTCTATGGAAGAAGAAAGGTGATTTGCATCTACTGTATGGTATTCACAATACTTTGACACTTTCATTCTCTCCAGTTGATACAATATATTTTTCTACATGTCTCAGTAGCAAACAATGTTATTTAGACTCTAACCTGGCACGCCACAACCTCTGGCCCGCCCTTGAGCCCCTCCATTGCAAAGGTCTCCAGGTGCAGTTGGGGTAGCTGCAGGGTGAAGTCATTCCTACTTGCCGCAGTCCGTGACAGCGAGATCTGATCTCTGACCTAAAGGGAAAAAAACAGCATCAATGGTAATTCCCCTTCAGACACATTAACTGGGATGAACTGGGTCCCCTTGAGCCCACTGAGTGGACTTGCATTGATCGCTGGACCTGAAATCCATGAATAAATTTAGGACTAATTGATTTTTCGTTGCAAATAAATCTCTAATTCAGAGTGCTGGAGGAGAATGTTAAGAAGAAAAAGCATCCTCCTGCTTGAAATGAGGGAGGGAAGAAGAGTCACTGGAGCTCTTCTGATCAAGAGGTTTTGAATTATTTTTTCACTGTTTCACCCTCAAAAGAAAAGAGAAGGAAAAACATTCACAAAATAAGAGAGCAAACAGCAATCTCCTAATTATTACCACTTTCTTAATAACATGTTTAATTTAGCTGGTATTAACTGATACATATTAGACAAGATAGTTATTAGTACTAGCCTTTGAAAAGAAAACTTCAATAATATGTACCCTAAAATAAAAACAAATATACTAAACACACAAGGAAAATATACCAGTAAGAGGTTCATTTGCCCTTTTACTTTTTATAAACCTGAGTCTTAACGATTAAATACATATAAACCAACTCAGTTATGCAACTTCTAAATAAGATAACGGATAAAATTAGTAGTATTCGTACTAAATTTTAAGTATTTGGAAAGATAACAATACAAACATATCACAGATACAGGAGAAACCCAATCTCTAGCCAGTACAGGAACCACATGCAGTTGATATTACACTGCCACCTTCTGGAAAAAGGAGAAAATACTTCCTGTATAACAATTTTAAAACGCTCAGAAATGGATCTATTTTCGTTTTTAATTTCCAAATTTAGTAAAAGCCTTAAAATTCCACACTTTAGTTTCCTTTTAAGATCAGTGAGCTCTCATTTTTAATCACATAGATTAATGATAGTTTTCATACGTAGGCATATTTTCTAACTTTCCTTATGCCTGAATTGGTTTTTAAATGTATCTCTTTGCTCCCATATATTTGATAAATATTATAAAATTAGCTTAAAGCCACAGGCTAAAAGGAGTTTTTTTATGAGGTAGCAAATGTCAAAATAAGGAGGGAACTATAAAAATACCACTAATTGCTCAAATAAATGTATATTTATATATCTCTACTTTTACCTGCAACGTCAAATGCAACTTAGCAATAAGATCTGATAGAAAACCTCTCCTTCATCTCTTTATTTTTCTTGGGAAGGCTATAAAACTGCTTGAGTTTTTTTCTTATTTTATGAATGATGTATCACACTGTATAGGGTTTCCTTAAACCAACAAACACACACAAACATATGATGACATTTTTAATTGCTCTTGCCCATCTATGGGTATAAAAATCTTTATACTCTTGACTTGACCTGCAATTTCTGTCAATAAGTGAATATCAAAGAGTATATTCTGTAAAACACACTGCAATGCAATTTTTACATTGGTGTGAGTTCTGTAAGCATGCTGGAGTCCCAATTCAAGAATGTACATTTATCTGCAGCAAACATTCTCCAGAGTCTTTAGTCAGGATGAGAGTGCTTTCAACTTATTTTCCATAACAAAATAAATCATATTTTACAAACATATTTGCTTTGCACTTTATAATTTAGATGTATGGATACCTTCTCTCTCTTTTTTTTGTCACCAATGTGCACTCAGATAAAAGAAAACATTAATGTGGATTATGGTACTGAGAATTTATCAACATCAAACCACTAGTGTTTTGCCTTCTACCCTTCTGAACCATAGTCAATAGATCTAAATATTTTACTGTACCCTGGCCAATTCATTGTTTGATGTTTAAAAACTCACCCAGAATCAAAGAAAATTTATTAAATTTGAGCCCCCAAATGAGATACTATTAGCTTTGAAAGTCAAGTTTAACTGCGATATTGATGATTCTCTTTTTTCTGTGACAAAATTCACTAGGGAAATCCTGGATGTCAAAGTACAAAAGCAGATTGCTAATACGGGCAAAGGGGGTGGGGTGGGTGGGCGGTGGAGGGGGAACGATAAGCAATGAAGGTATAATCCACAACACAGTTTGAACACTGGAGGTCTTACAGCCTGGTTAATATCAGGTACCATGCTTCATCTTCGAAGCTTGACATACAGGAACAGGAAGCCACATTTTATAGTCTCTAAATAAACTTTCTGAACAATATTAAGCTAAGCATTTAGTATTTAAAACTGTGATTTATTGTCAAATTAACATTTTCATTTAATTTGCCACGTTAAGTAGTTTTTTATATCATATAGGAAAAAAAACCCTCAAAATGCAGTCATTTTGCTAAACCTAATGATGGGCATCATAATTACAACAATGCTTGAATAATACGTGTATGTTAACACTTAATTTTAAATTATCTGTGGAATGTTGACAGTGCCATCAAGAGACAGTGACCCATGATATATAATAGATATAACATCACAAATATTTGTACTAAAATTAAGTCTTTTCTGCTTTTAAATTAAATCAAAACTTTGAGAGAAGGCATGTAAAATGTTCTTCAAATATTTCCAGAAAAGTCTTTATAAGTCTTGAAAAGGGATTGGCAAGGAATTCTTTTATTTTAAAGTGCATAGGGAGTGAAAGCATCATATTGAAAGAAAACAAAACTGTGACACTAGGACAAGTGAAAATACAATGGTGCAGGAAGGAACCACGACAAGGGGAGGGAAGAAGGGGCGAAAGGGGAGACTGTTCAGAAAAAATGCAGAAGGCAAGTTTGGATTTCAGGGTGTGAATAAGGATTAACTGAGAAGGGATTCAACACCCAACCATAAAAAATAGACTCTCCTTATTGCATAAATGTGGTCATGAAAACAATAATAGAACAAGCAAGCTGAGAACACAGTGACTAAAATCAGAAGAGAGGTAAGTGGGATTTCTTTAGGAGACACTGGCCATTGGACGCAAAATTATTCCTTTCAAATATGAGAATCTAAAGTAAATATCTTTGCTGTCAAAAAATTTTGAAGTAATACTATTAGAATAGTAATATCATTTTTTTCCTAAATGGAAAATTAGGTTCATCTTTTAAAATACAGATTTTTGTGTCAACTCAGATTAAAACAACCATTGTCACCTATCTATGGATTATAATTTAAAAATTCAAATTAATTTTATAGTATAATTTCAAAAGTCAGTCTTTAAGTCTGGTTATACCACATCATTATGCATTCTGTAACTGATTCCATACCCTTTGCACTGTGATTTACTTATAGAGGTGAGCAATAGCAAATATAGACAATGTTTTGCTACTTCAAAATGGGTAACAATTAACTTTTAGAATGTAGTGAATTTTTTCACAGGATTTCACAATATAAATCTCAATTATCAAAATGTACATTTTGATAACATTATATAAACAATTTTACAACTTCATACTTTGACAAAGAATTTAAAAAATATCTACTGAGTCCTACTAAGTAGTATGATTTTTAGAAAGAGTAGTTTACTTTCCCTTATTACATACTTTCAGAAAACACATATTTCTAATACATATGCTACAAGAAACAGGAATTGTATAGAGAAAAATAAATAAAAGTTTCTAATAAGTCAAACATTGTTATGAAATATATATACTTCCTTTATTATAACAACCTAGTTCAGATTTAAGTGATTCATAAGATCCACATTGTACCATTCCTATTCCTCTGTTTAATCTTTACTCATAAACCATCAATCTGTTTTCTAATTTTCTGTACTTCTACCATAACACCAAAAAAAGTTATTTCTACTAGGTATATCGATTATGAAATTAAATTAGTAATTTTTAGAAAAACTGCTCAACTCTCAAAATGTGAACCTGCATCTTTTTTTCCCCACCCCCCTGAACTTGCATCTTTTATTATGCATAGCTATAAATGTGTCTAGACCCAATGTTGCAAGTTAAAAAATAAACAAGCAAACAAACCTTATGAAATGTGATACTAGCTGTGTTTTGACGAATAGGATACCAAGAAAGAAGTAGTAAAGATTCTAAATAAAAAGCTCAGGTTCACTTAACATATAAAAAAATATATATATATATAATAAATGTCTCAATCTTTAATGCCTGGGAAAAATAAAGGTTATTAGATTATACCTCATACTCTTAATCTGCTTAAGGTTTTATTTACTCTGATCTATTATGGCCTCCATTGTTTCATATAAATGTTCTTTGAGAGATATTATTATCAAAAACAGACCTCTACAATATTTCCTGTAGCCTCTATTCTTATTCTGTGTTCATATTTTATTTTGCTTCCATTTCCCTGCCTTCTTTTACCCTGTTTCCTTCTCTGTATTTCCTTCTACTTCCAATAATTCCTTATTGCTTTCCCTTCTCTCTGTATTCTATTTTTCATCCTACACACTAGAACAGCCTATGTACTATGTTTCAACCTATGAAGCAGAGAGCAGTGAGTACTTGGCACACTCCAGCCAGGGGAACAAATACAGCCTACCACATACTGCTGTAAATAAAGCTTTATCAGAACAGAACCACACCCATTCACTTACTTAATGTCTTTGGCTACTTTCCTGCTAGGACAAGAAAGTTGAGTAGTTGAGACAGAGACCATATGGTCCACAAGGCCTAAGATATTTACTATCTAAATATTACTTAAATATTTACAGAAAAATGTTAGCCATCCCCTGCCTTAGAGGTATAGAAAGAAAGATATTTTTCACCATCTCAAAAGTTCTTTAAAATTACCATATGTCACCACAGAATGTGTGAACTCCTGTCACTAGCACAGGGCGCCATCTCATAGACACCTTCTGGCTGTTTCATGAAATAAGTGTCCTATATCCTGATGCATTTTCATAGTCTAGTTTACAACTTGACTGCATCTAACTCCCTGGCACAGCTACTGAACACCCACTCTACTGGCTCATCAACAGAATATTTGGCTAAGCCAGAACGTGGACACTGCAGAGAAGAAAGGGGCATCAGCCACAGTTACCACATACCCCACAGTCCCACGAGTATCAAGAAAAATGCTCTGCATACAGAGGC